CGATCCCAATACGAAGTTCGCGAACATCAGGGATATCCATCGGGCTCAAATCGAAGCGGGTGAAAAGGAGGTTATCACGGCTGAATCCAGCGACTCTGAATGCCCTAGTGAGGCTGGCAGCTGTATTGTAGTGGGTGTGGTTGAGGATCAATAGTTAATAGTAATGAGGAGGTTGGGTTGTGATCCCATCGTTTTTGTGGTGCCAGAAACAGGGGGGTGCCAGGAAGTGGGTATGTTGACTTACTCATTCGTAAATCGGCAAAGGGCTTTGGACGAAGTTGGACGAGGTCAGATTATAAGTAAACACGCCATTTCACTTCTTATTACATGGTTTTTAGTGGTGCTACGTGTGACATCACGGGCCATGCGAAGTTCTTCTCATTTTGCTCAATTGCCGCTGTCATTTGTATTGCTGTATAAATGCCTTATCCGAACCTGTCTACCTGAACCGTTTCTTTAGAGACTTAGGTAAAGGAGATGTGTCTCGCGAATTATTTGTCGAGTCCTCCGGCCTCACGGACGGCAGACTGCGCATTATTGGCATGAGATCCAGTCTCGATCATCTTGGCCACCTCCGCATCATCATGCGGTGCCCTCAGCTTGCCCACAGTCGTAAAGTCATCCCGCGGTCGCTTTACAATGATACCCTCTCTCGCCTCACCCAACGCGCCACCAACACCAGCCTGACCCGTCCTCAGCGCAGCAAGCGACTTGTGGCGCTCCGAGAGGAGCTCGTCCTCGGCCTCCCAGCTGAGCGAGAGCAGCGCGTTCTCCTTGGGTCGGACGGCCGGGTGGGTGAAGAGGGAGAGCACGCAGGGTCTCTCGCCGCTGGTCTCGGTGTTGCGGCCCGTGCCGTGCCAGATGCGGCCCTCGAAGATCATGGCGGTGCCGGCGGGCGCCTCGCAGGCGATTGTGCCCTCGCTGGTGAATACGTTGCGGGGGCGAACGTTCTTGTTGTGCGAGCCGGGGAAGATGCGGGTACCGCCGTTCTTCTCGGTGAAGTCGCACAGGAGCCAGGAGATGTTGAGGGCGCAGGGCTTGGTGCGGCCGTGGCCCATGATACCTTGGTCCCAGTGGAGGACTTGAGGCATACCGCCGGGGCGGGCGATGTTGATCTGTTGTCATGGTGTTAGTCTTTTTGTCCTTTCTTGTTGGATGGAAAAGAGTGCATACGTTGTAGGACCACAAAAGGGGGTTGTTGCAGCCGAGGTACCACGGCACGACCTCATCGATCAGGGGGTGGTTCAGTAGGTCGAGGAACTCCTCTCCCTTGTTGAAGATGTTCCAGATGCGCTGGTTGGGCTTCTTTGGGCCGCCATCGAATGTTGCCACGCCAGCATTACGTTCGCCGGCAGCCTGCTCCTGGGCACCCTTCTTGAGGATCGCGACTTGCTCGGGAGTGAGTGCATTCTTCATCAGACCATAACCCCACTTCCTCAAGTCACGCTTGACCTGCTCGATATCTTCTGTCGGCTTGGGCAGCTCGTCGAGGTTGAGCTCGTCCTTTGTCGTCGGAGCATCCGTGGGGTTCGGAGTGATGAGGTCTGCGAAGCGGATGGCCAGGGGGTAGTCTCCTTTGGTGGGGACGGCCGACATAAATACGGCGGTCTGCGGGTCATCGCGGCCCTCGACCAGGTCCTCGAAGCGCTCTGGGCGCCATGTGAGCTCAAAGGCGGGCTCGGCGCCGTCGGTGGGGGCCGAGTCGAGGAGCTTGACCGGGCTGGAGCGGGCGTCGATGTAGACGGGATCGGGGTCCGTGAAGTCGCCTTCGGCAAATGTCACCTTTGCCAGTACCTTGAGCTCTTGGAATGCCTAAACCCCGGTCACTCTCGTGTTAGTGAAAGGGGCCCCTCCAATGGTTGACCTCTTCGTGGGGTTATTACCTGTAGCTTATCGGCAAGGATCAGCCGTGCGAGGTTGCTCTGTGCTGTAAAGCGCTGGGCCTTATTTCCGTAGCTGACGGAGCTGAAGTCAAGGGCCCCAAGGGGCTTGGAGGGTGCTGGCATAGACATCTTGTTGTTTGAATTAGACACTGAATGAATGCTCGAGGATAGTAGTTGATTGAAAGGTGAGGTTGATTGGAGAGTGATACAGATCTTTGCTACTGTCGGGAAACTCCAAATAGTTATACGTTCAGAGGCGATGCTGCTAGGATGAGAGTATTCGCTTCATGTCTGGGCATGTCGCCTCGCAACTCTAATCGAGTTGTTGTTGAAGCAACGCCATACGCGAATGAAGCGTTGCGGACTACAGCATCGTAGACTTTGACCGACGCCGTGCTCGCGTAGCTGCACCGGGCCCGGGTGGTGAACAGAGTTGCAACGTTTCTCAATGTCAGCTCCCCCAGTTTCTCGGTCTCGGTCTCGCTCTCAGTCGTTTTACATGATTAAGATTGGGCTTGACGTCGCACTCCCCCACAAAAACCCTGGGGTCGCGGAACTCAATTATAACCTGCGCTTGCAAGCCAGTGCAGTAATTACTAATAAGAGACTCAGGATTACTCCGTACGTTTAAAGACGGGCTGTGTAGGCGCTACTAAAAGGCATCACGTTGTATGGCCCTGCGCCGGTAGATAATCAACGTAACCCCTTGCTAGCGTCAAGGATTTAGGATAGATGACTTTACAAACCTTCGTGCGGGATGCGCTGATTAGCCCCTTGGCTGCCACGCTGCCTAATCGTAGTCGTTGCTTATTTATATTGTTGCCGCTAACAGCTTGTATCCATACCTCGCTCTCGCACTCTATCGTCGGCCGGGAAGCATATTAGAGCTTGGTAACACAGTAGCTAGGAGCTTGGTTCACCTCGCCTCGTTCCTGCGCCCCCTCATCCCCTCGTCACTAGATCGCAGAAACTTAAGTCCGCGAGACAATCCAGCGGGCGGCGGCAGTTGAAGCACCGATCCGCAATGTGGCGTTCTTGGCTTCGGGCAGTAACGGTTCCCGGGCCGTCCAGGGTGGATTCCGGGGCACTCCGTACAAGGGAGCTTTTCGCCGAGTGAGTCGCTCGGCGGGTCTAGTTGGTGGGTATCGCAATTATCAGTGGGTCGTACCTCTTTGATTCTTCCCGCAGCTGTTGTTCACATCGATGGCAATCTTAGCTGCTTGTTTCTTTCGATCTTGTTTCAGAGCTGGGTGTACCTGTTGTACGTTCATCTCGAAGAAGTCCTTCTGGATCAGAACACTTAGCATGTTTTCTTCCCTTCTTCGTCCATGAACATTGGACTACGAAGTCTTGCTGACATGCTGGGAGGTCGTGTAAGTTTCGGTGTGACGCGTGAACAAAACTGGTGCTACATTTGGTATCAAGATGTCTCTCTAAAAAGATCCGTTTCTTAGTTCATCGAGTTCGACCACCGCCACATAAGAGTCACCTCGGAAGTGCCCCATAAGAACGTACCCTAATGCAGTGGCTAGGGAGATGAAAGGTAAGGTGATCTTCTACTTCTCCATGCAAATCACGTACTTAGTCAGTCACCAAGGAGCCAACTCGCTCTCGTGACTCGTCCTCGCTCTCGCGTCCCCTGTCCTCAGCCACACATAGAGCTTATTACGATCCCCATAGCCACTAGCTCCTAGCCAATGGTCTTGCACAATGTCCGCACATTGACCGCGATCCGCGGCCTCGTCTTCGCCTCCGTGTTAGCACTCGGGTGGTTGTTATGACTTCAACCCAATGAGGCGTATCCAAAATTTGAACCGGTTGTTCGGCATCGAAAATGCCTAGCTTGCACAAGAAATGGCTCGTGACCTAGCTAGCAGGCGGATAAGAACTTGTCCGTAGATGGCAATGAGACTATCGACAGGACTATATCTGGTTTATCTCCCTGCTCTCTGATATCACACTCCTCACCTGGGACTGAAACCTTCTTTAAGTTTGTTCATCGTTGCAGCTCTTGGCACCTCCACGGCAGAAATCCAAAATGTTACGAAACAACTTGATACGGGCGCTTTCTGCACTTAACTTTGCATTTGGTGCCATCGCTACGAATAGTTCATGCAAGTGTGTAAGTTTATGTTCCCCCGCCAAGATGGATCAATTCAACATCCCGACTATTCGTCTCAGATGGACTGACACAAGGCCGCTTCGGACGGCATTTTGCAACAGGCACCAAACGACGCTTGCTGGCCATCTACAAGTGACTGGCAGCAGTTCAACGCTACTCTCTCGGGGAAGCTCATAGCGACCAAACCGGTCGCCATCTCTTGTTACCCAGGTCCTAATTATGACGCAACGTTGTGCGCCAGTGTTATGGTGGACTGGTACAAGGGAGAATGGATGTCATCGCACCCCGTCGGCCTGGACTACCCCCTGAACATCACATGCCCTCCCGTTCAACCTACATCGAACTCGACCGCCGGAGGAGGCTCTTGTACCCTCGGCACGAACCCTGTATACGCTGTGAACGTGACAGAGACCGACGACATCGTCGCAGCTCTCAAGTTCGCAGAGGAGAAGAACCTGAGAGTCGTGATCAAGAGCACCGGGCACGACGTACTCGGCCGCAGCGACGGTTTCGGCGGCTTGGAGATTTGGCTTCGTTACTTCCGCAACGGCATCACCCCGCAAACCTCTTTCCAGTCCTCCACCGGCTGCACAGCCTCAGGATGGACCGGCAGCGCCATGAAGCTTGCCGGCGCGTACATGTGGGGAGAGAGCTACGCGGCTGCAAAGGAAAACAACGTCGTCGTCGTGGGTGGAGGAAGCTCGACCGTCTGCAGCACAGGAGGGTGGATGCAGGGCGGCGGCCACGGCCCGGCCAGCCATACTTTCGGTCTCGGCGCTGACCAGGTGCTTGAGGCTGAGCTCATCCTTGCCAATGGCACTGCTGTCACGGTCAACGCTTGCCAGCACCAGGACCTTTACTATGCCATCCGTGGCGGAGGTCCCAGCTCCTACGGTGTCGTCGTGTCAACTACGGTCAAGACGTATCCGCAGGTCACCGTGGCCGTTCAGAACCTCCAGTTCGCGGCCCCTACCGGAACCCCCAAAACCGCTTTCCTGGATGCGCTTGCAACTCTTTACACCTCGATCCCGGAGTTGGTGGAGTCTGGTTTTGCCGGCTATAGCCACTGGCAGACCGACGGCCAGTCTGCTTCCTTCAACAACTACACCACGGCATATTCCCATGCCGTCTACGTGTTCAACAAGACCGCTGAAGAAGCAGAAGCCGCTGGCAAGGGCCTTCTCGACAAGATTTACAAGTTCAACGACACCCTCTTTGTAAATTCGAGCTATGTAACTTATGGCGACTACTGGACCTTCTTCCAGGAGGTTAGCGCCGATAACAACCCCGTCGGCCTCATGGCTGCCTCTGGATCTCGCCTCCTGGATACGGACGCCGTCAGTAACTTCACAGCCGTCCGTGGTCTAGTCGAGACGCTGGCCGGAAAGACGGGCGAATACGTCACAAATGTCATCTCCATCGTCTCTGGTGGCCAAGTCTGGGCCGACGCAGCTCAGGAGTACTCCGCCGTTCTCCCCGCCTGGCGTACGGCCGTCTTGCACCAGTCTGTCGCGCGTATTCTCAGCCCCGGCGTCAGCGATGCCCGCTTCAAGGAGGTTCACGACGACGTCACATTCAATAAGATTGGCGCTATGAAGACCTTGGCTCCGAACATGGGAGCGTACATGAATGAGGGTGATGCTTTTGACCCGGACTGGAAAGTGGATTACTATGGCGCCAACTACAACAGGCTTCAGTGCATCAAGGAGTACTACGACCCTGGGGAGCTCTTCTACTGCCCAACTTGTGTGGGAAGCGATAAGTGGCAAGAAGACTCCGTTGGACGTCTTTGCCGCGCGTAGTCATCCGGACTCTAGTCAACATCGAGACTCACTCACTCACTCCCTTGTGTTTCTGGTAATTACTGTACATAACTGGATGTTTGGACAGACAGACCTAGCCTTATATTTCTGAATCATTAGACTTTCAGTTAGACTTTATCATGAACTCTCATTACACAGGAATCGTATCTGAATATAGCTACAACCTAGCATCAGAATAAATTAATGTCGAGTTTAAATCCCGTTGTCGGAATAGTAATTCAAAACGGCGTAAAGCCTAGCCGCTGGCGGCCCAAGTTGAGTTGTGAATCTCTTAATGCTTGAAATTGCCCCTGGACTGCTTCTGAGTTTTGAACTACTTATGGTCAAATTAAGGAGCTACATATTCATGTACATATGTACATGTCTGTTACTAGTGTCTGTCGTACCAATCCTCATCCCGGAGTGTAGCCAAGCGTGGTAATAAGGTAAGGAGGGTGTATGAAATAGGAAAATATTATATTGACATTAATAGACCATAGTTCCGCACCCAGCATCTTATAGGGGGTAAACAGATAGCTCTCCAAGCAAGTTGTAATATAGATATATTGAGTACTAGGCGCACGCGAATCCTCTTCTTGGCCATCTACATGCGTCTTTCAGGCTAGGAAGAATAAGCTCATGGACAATCTCGCCGTGGCTACATATATACTTGAAGTATGTTCAGTAAACATCAAATGAGATCAGAGACATCTTTGAAACACAATTAACAGAGCACAGGTCTCTAAAGCAAGAAAGATGCAGGGTGATCGTTGATGTACTGCATAGCCTCAACACGCCAGTCGTCCCTGGTCACCTCAGGCCCGCTTTCCTTGAAGTTAGACGTCTCCAAGCCCTCTTCAGAGTATCTCGGCCACTCGGCAAAGTCCAGACCATGGTTGTTGGGGCTCAGCGTGCGGATGAAAGAGATGGCGGTGACCTGGTAAGCCTGCGTATTCTTGCTCAACGCATACGGCAGACCGGCAAACATGTAGAACCGCACGTCAAAGGCATGGAATGATCCTAGCAGAGGCAGGTGTGTTAACACGCCGAAGCCTGGCAGCAGGCCTGCCGACGGGATGCTCACGTCGGTGACGTAGTTCCAAACAGTCTGCTCCGAGACGTTGTAATGTGCTAGAAGGTTGCGTCGCTGCGCCTGGAAGCTGAAGTCGCCCACCACGGCGGCCAGGCGCTTGAACTTAGGCGTG